TGCACCTATGAACCCCCCACACACACACACACTTTACCCTGACTGCACCCATGGTCACACACACACTGTTGGTGGTAGAAAATTCGGTACATGTACTGAGATCGGCCTACTCACATCGCTGAGGTTGGCGGCATTAAGCTTGGCGCGGACGTGCTCTGGTAATTCCAAAATAGCGGTGTAATGATGCAGTAGGTCCTCGCCAGCCGCTTTGTAGAGTCGCTGGGAAGGAAATCAAATTGTGATTAAGAAAAATAATAAATTCAATGTAAAGTATTGTCTATGGAGGTTCTCATTCATCCAGGTCACATGGTATGTCTGTAAAAAATAAGCCAAGGCAATTGGACTTGCTGTATTTTTCTTGAAGACGTTTCTGAATTGAGAAAGCCGGTCGGATGTCCAGTAAAATACAGCAAGTCCAATTGCCTTGACTTATTTTTTATAGATAATGTAAAGTATTATTTACAGGAAAAATCTGATTCTTAAAAATGTATGTTAAAAAAAAAAAAAATCAGTCTACAGGCCCAACGCTATGGAGCCGCCCAGATTGGTGGAGCCCGGACTCTGGAGGTACCTCTTACCTCATTGGTTATCTTGTTGCTGAACTTGGCATGTAGAAGGTCCACAGAGTCTGTGATCGCCGTGTGTTTCAGCTGATATGGCTGCTGTCTGTATTTGGTCTGCAGTCGGAGAGATAGAAATTATTTTATTTTATTTGGATTGTATAGACAGAATGATTTCAAAAAAAAAAAATATGTGCTTTTTTCCAGTTTTGTTTTTTTTTAAAGTATACATTTTCTTCTATAATTTGTCCCGTCTAAAATTAAATTACAATGACGTTTCTGGTTCAAAATGATTTGCAAATATAATTATAAATAGTTTTTTTTTTTTTTTCATTTTTATGCATTTTTTTGTTTGTTATGCAAAACGATTAAAAAAAAGTAACAAACAAAACAAATGACAATAGAAAACAAATCAGCAGGAAACAAAAAGCTAAGGGGAGAAGAGGAAGAAGGAGCTTATTAGGACTTATTAGGGTTAATTAGGAGTTGATAAGGGGTTTGTTAGGAACAATTGTTTTATTACATTCATTTAATTAATGTTATGTTCATTAAAGGAGAACTATGGGGTTAGTGTTTTCCCCATAGTTCTCCTTAGGGTAACGGGAGGACACAAACTAGCGTCCTCCCGTCACCCTAAGCTCAGTATACCGCGAGCTACAGCTCGCGGTATACTGAGACGCCGCAGCCGGAGCGGATCCCGACGTAGATGACGGGATCCGCCCAGCTGCGTGAGTGACAGCTGGCTCTGCCTAGCTAGAGGCAGAGCCAGCTGTACCCGCCCCCTCCGTTCCGCCAGTCAGCGCTGGAGGATCGGAGCGGGGAGAGGGGAATCCAGCCCTCCCCCTGTCACGGCAGAGAGCTGTGACAGGATCGAGAGGTGAGCGAACGCCGGTATGTGTTCGCTCACCTCCCGATCTACAGAGCCGACCTGTGACAGTCTCATTGTCACAGGTCGGCTAGAACTATGAGGTGAGTGGAAATCACCTCCCCCTCATAGTTCTCCTTTAGATGATGGTGTACGCAGATGAAAGGTCACACCTCTGATTTACATAGTAAATTGGAATAGTAAAATACAATGTAACAAGATAGAGGATAGAAATTACCAGCACTCAATGATATCATTCAATATGTCCTTTAATCAGAGCCAGCTGTCAGTCACGCAGCTGGGCGGATCTCGACATCAATGTCGGGATCCGCTCCGGCTGCGGTGTCTCAGTATACCGCGAGCTGTAGCTCCCTATATACTGAGCCTAGTTGCTGGTAATAGCGGCTGGGAGAGCGACAGCATGATGGAGGGAAACTGGGTGAAAAAGATACAGCTTAAAACCTTTGGAAAAAAGTTTTTTAGTCGCATCTCTTATTCTCTTATATTCAGAATCCTCAAGTGGTTAAAATATTGGCTTCCCCATCACTTTCTGTCACAGTTAGTATTAGGGATGCACTCATACCGGTTTTTCGGTATCAAGTACTGATATTTTGCTTTTGGTACTCGCCGATACCAAGTACCGATACCGGTGCTTCCGCTGGCATGGAGCCGGCTTCCCGGGCAAACAGGAGCCCAGGTAATGACATGCCACCTGGCTACCTGATTGCCTGGGAAGCCGACTCCACGCTGTTTAGCCGGCTTGATTGTGATTGGCCGATAAACTGGCTTCCCAGCAATCAGCTTGGAGCCGGCTTCCCAGCTAATCAGGAAGCTGGGCGGCGAGTAATGACCTGCCTCTCGGCTTCCTGATGGCCGGGAAGCCGGCTCTATGCTGATTGGCTGGAAAGCCGACTTCCAAGCCAATCAGCATCAAGCCGGCTGTCCAGCCAGATCGATGCTGATTGGCCGGGAAGCCAGCTTTCGGGCCAATCAGCAAGGAACCAGGTGCCCGGCCGGCTTGATGTTGATTGGCCGGGATGCCGACTTCCCAGCCAATCAGCAAGGAGTCGGCTGTTAGGCCAGCTCGACGCTGATTGACCGGGAAGCTGGCTTCCAAGCCAATCGGCATGGAGCCGGCTTCCTGGCCAATCAGGAAGCCGGGAGGCGGGTTCCCACTCGTCACCCAGCTTCCTAATTGCACGGGAAGCTGGCTCCATGTTCCCCCTACGGCACCGAAGTTCCGGTATCGGGGAAGGTATCGGAGCATTTGGGTGAGTACGAGTATCGGTATCAGTGCATCCCTAGTAAGCATGGTCACCAGGACAAATAGAGAAGAAGGATCTCCCCAGCAAGGCACAGAGACAGCAAGGCACAGAGACAGCAAGGCACAGAGACAGCAAGGCACAGAGACAGCATGGCACAGAGACAGCAAGGCACAGAGACGAGGGTTCTGACCTCTCCGTACACCAGATAAAACTTTAAAAAGAAAAAAAAGTTAAACCCTTTGGACACAACAAGCACATCGATTACCTCGCTGATCAGGCTGGATGCTCTCTTCTTCTCCTCGATGTCCAGAGCTCCTGGGACAATGCAGCCCACACCTCTCATGAAGCTCAGATCGGACCTGTAGCGGTTCTGCAAACCAGAACATCAAAGTGGAAAAATAAAATGTTACATTGTGGTGTTGAAATGAACAAGTAGCAATAAGCTGGACGGCCAACTTGTTTCTATAGGAATCCCAGATGAAATTAGGTTTTTAAGGGGTGTAACGGGTTTTAAAAGGCTCCTCTGGGTTACAGAAGTTTATTCCAACAATCCTGGAGCTGCTCTTGTGGCAAACCCCAGTTATAGCCCCAGTGCTAATGCTAGCCCAAAGGAAGTCCCTCACCCCTTGTTTAGAAACAAAGTCAAGTGACCACCATACCAGCCGTGTCACGTGGTGGCAGAGTCACACAGTCAGAAGCTCTCTGCGCTCTTACATAGTATTTGAGGTTAAATAAAGACATATGTCCATCAAGTCCAACCTATTTGATATATAAAGGGGAATGCTTTTAATTCTAATATAATTGGAGGTCCAATTTCAACAGAATTTTGGCAAATGCAAAAAAATAAATTCTGCAAAATCAAGTCTGCTAATATCACTCCACTTACTCCTACACAGGAAGTAAAGACATTTATTATTTTATTCTATTTGGATGTAGCCACCATCAATGTACCTCACTCTGCAGCTCATAGGCTCTCTTAGCGCTCAGCAGTCGCAGGTCGTCGGACAGCGTGGTGTAATCGTGGAGCAGGTGCCTGTAATCCTGATCGCTGACCAAAGCTTGGGCCTTCCTGGCGTGTACCAGATTCACCATGTCCATCGGCAGGTGGAACTGAGAGCAGCTCTTCTCAAAGCCTTTCTTGTACTGAACCTGTGTGGAGACAAGATGGCGCAGAGTCACAGCTCGGAAGAGTCGGTCAATACATTCAGGAAGCATTCAACCCACAGACAGTGAATACTCCTAAAGTCAGTTTGTTCCTGAAACCTTTATAGGGAGTTGGTACACAGCATCTGAAATCAGGCTATCAGTGGGAGTGGCTCTCTAAGAGCTGATAGGTTGGAGGAAAGGAAACTTAAGCGGGCTTAGAAGGAGAGCTCAGGGTGGTGGGGGCGGTCACTAGTAGTCTAAAGAGAAGACAAGAGGTGGGGCAGTGGGGCAGTAGCACATTGTGTAAACAATGGCAGCCTCTAAATATTATTGTCCTTCACCTGAAAGAGAACCTTAGCCCATGCCGAGCAAGCATAAGGTTCATTTAATGCCGGTATACCAGGTGCTCCATTTAACCACTGGAGCAAAGGGAAATACTCGGTACTCCTGAGTATGGAGGAGCACGTGACTCTTTCCCATGATGCATTGTTCGGGGCCAGGGGACTAGCACTTGGGGGTGGGGAAGATAATTCTCAGCCCTGTGTAAGCTCCAATCACAGTAACTCAGAACTTACGCTAATCTGCTCCAACAATGTAGCAGTAATGGTTAGGACCTGTTGCTTTGCCCGACCCCCGGGAGGTACTTTACGGTAGAGAAATGGGCACCTTGGCTGAGCTGAGGAACCCTTTGAGACATGACCTTGCTGAAACCCAAACGGTGCTGCTGACCTTGCCCACCTTGTAGGACCCCCTTCTGGAATAGGCAGAAGATGTAGCTAGGTGGCCACAGAGGGTAAGAGACTTACATCACTGAGCAGAGAAGAGGCTTGGACTGAGTGTGAGAGGTTCAGGTCGTCCTCCAGCCTCTTCAGGCCGATCATCTTTCCTTTAGACTTTTCGAAGTCCGCTTTATATTTATACTGAAATTACAGATCAGAAACAGGTCGGGGTCAACATTTTATAAAGGAACAATGCCTAAGAAACCAATCTTGTACAACCGTTCCTTCAGTCATATTAAAGGTGTAGGCTACGGAGCTCTGTACCACATCCTTGCTTCGTGGTTGGACAATGGATCTGAGATAGAAGCACCACACCCAAAAACTGATGGTCCAGATACAGATCTATTTCAACGTAAAGCTAGAAAGAAGATCAATGAAGAAGCCAATGTCCCAAAACGCCCCTTCATCAGGGCTTAAAGATAAGAGACAATGACTTCATTCAGGGCCGGATTTACTCTCTCTGCTGCCCCAAGGCCAGGTTCCTCAATGCGCCCCCCTACCCCTTCCCTGGAGAATGGCAGACCTGCAGGCTGCAGACAAGTGATCTCGGCGACATTGTCGAGATCACTTGTATAAAACAAGCGGCGGCTTCCCCGATGTACATTTAGCTCTGCTTGCCCAAAGCCGGGCTAAATGTAGAAAACAACAAGCAGCCCGGCGCCCGGAACTGCATGTCCCTGGCATCGGGAGATCGGAATTCCACACCCCTGCTGCCCCAAGGCTGGGCCTCGGCTGGTCTTGTGGGAAATCCGGCCCTGACTTCATTGAAGGTGCACGGGTACGGTGTTTTAACCAGTAGGGTATCAGGCACACAACTTATCTGCAGCTGGTTTGGGCTGCCGAACCAGCTGCTGGCCAGTTTTTGAGCCCCCCATTGGCTTCTTCATTTGATCTTTTCTCTGACCTGACAATGAAATAAAATTGTATCTGGACTATCCATTTGTGGTGTGGTTCTATCTCAGATCCATCGTTGTACTCTACAACCCAGAGTCGTAGCTAGCTCCTTTTGCGACCGAGGCGAGAACAGAAAATTGTGCCCCCCAACAGACGTGTGCGGAATGTGGCGTCATGCGCCCCGCCTCCAGGATGGAAAATGCGCCGGTGGCCAAATCCAAAAATAGCATAAAAATTTGTTTGGTTTGATAAGACTAATGAAAAAATTTTTGCAGTTTCCATTTATTTTGTCCGAAATTTATTTTACTTTTGGGGGGCTTCTGGGAAATATTGGGGGTCTAAATAGACCCCTGACATTTCCCTTTTGAAATAGAAAAAGAAATTGAGGACACAGAGTACTCTGCCCATACAGGTGGGGGAAAGCAGTGGGGATCCAAAGGGAAGCTGGAGCCTGTGCCGCTCCTCTTCTCCCTGCCAAGCCGCGGCTGGGTTGGCCGCCCGGTGCTCCTGTTGCCAATGGTGCAGTGTGCTCGCCATGGTAACAGGCCGGCCCTTGCTGCGCCCCCTCTCAGCTGCGCCTGAGGCGAGTGCCTCACTTGCCCCATGGTAGCTACAGCCCTGCTAAAACCCAAGGAAACTGTGGGAATTGTCTAGTGTGTACACGCTGCCAGCCCGGTAACCAGATAACCTGGTAACCTGCAATACTACTGGATAGCAATACCAATAGGACAATCCTAGGATCCGGCGCTACCCAATCACTGTCCTACGTTGCTTTATGGTTAGTCACTGAGCCAGAACAAGTATCAGGCCAGAAGTCCAGATAATTTTCTAGCAGCATGCATGTTCCCCTTCAGTGGCTTACCATGTAGTGAGAAAAGGATGATGTCTCCAGAAGGAAAAAAAATAAGTCCCTAAGATATTATAAGAAACACTCAACCCTCAGCATCACTTTAGATTATAAAACCATAACCCTTAGTTTAGTAGGAGGAAAGACCTTGAAGGGAACGGCAGTAATTTAAACTCAAGCTCTGAGCGGTCACAGTAGGGGCAGCCCCGCCCGCTCAGCACTGCGCCATGGAACGGTCTGTCTCAGCATCTCCCGGACACAAGCAGGCGAGGATTTTGAAGCAAAGTTTGAAAATCCTTCCAGCAGAGATAGCAAAACATGGAGGGATTTTTTTGTTTTGTTTAACTTTAATCTTATACCGAGCGCCTGGAGATTGCTGATTATCTCGCCCCCGGGATGCATAATGTATAAAGAGAAACTCACTTCGCTAATTATTTCCCCAGATGCCTTTGCAGCCTGGAAGGGGATGGCGTCCAGCTTGAGCTTGTATCCTCCATCCTTCAGATGGCCCCACGACTCCTTGTAACGCGTCTGGCGAGGAAATAAACAAGTCGGTGTAATTACATGTTTAATTGCTCTGCGGTCTGTTTGCCGTAGAAAAAACAAAACAGAATTAGCAGGGCTTAAAGGGGACCTGTCAGTATAGGAGCATTGGAGCTGCCATTGGCCACTTGTTTTGTGGGTCTGTCAAACTTTGGGTTTATGGCTTATGGAGGCCATCATATCTGTTCTGGGAGCGGCACTGTAATGAAAAGATCCGGGAGAATCGGGGTCCCATGTGGCAAGAGCCCAGCTTCTGCAGAACCAGGGGAATCGGGGTCGCATGTGGCAAGAGCCCAGCTTCTGCAGAACCAGGAGAATCGGGGTGCCATGTGGCAAGAGCCCAGCTTCTGCAGAACCTCTATGCATGAGATACATGTGGTCGGAGATTGTGGCTCCATTTTTCTCCATTTGGGGGTCACAATGAGGTGCATGGGCATCCAAAAGCTTGACCTAGACACCCCTCCATGGTGCACATTCCTTGATAGTTCAAAATCATGTGGTTTGACACCATGAACATACTCCAGACAAACATATGAAAGGTCTCCATCTATCCCGTCCAAGTATAAAGAAATGGGGTCAGCTCCAGGTAACTCTGTTAGTTGCTATGTATGTCCTATGTATGTCCAGTTGTTCCAACTATCACGGATTACAGTAGGGTTACGCTTTTCAGAGGGGCCCCAACCTGCTGCACAACCTTCAGATACATACTTGCCAACATTATGGTTCTGGATCCTGAGACACTGTTAACCCCGACCATGTTCCGCACTTTGTTGGCCCAATTTCCAGGTTTATGTGCCCAAATCATGTCCATTGTATGAGTTGGTCCTGCCCAGACCCTGCCTCTAAATATCTGTGGCTGCCCATCACGTCCACTTTTTAGGTTGGTCCCTTCAAGATCCCGCTGATAAATATTTGTGGCTCCCTACTAGACCCTACCTATAAATATGCTTGGCTGCCCATCATGCCCACTTTAATAATAATCAAAATTATACATACAGGGCAACGAATAGACAATGGAGACTGAAAAGTTGTACCCAAAAAATTAGGGTTAAATGCTTTAAATAAAGGATCTTGCATCTGCACTTAAATTCTGTTTTCCTTTTATGGTCTGTCCCGCCCTCGTTTTCTTGGCTGATCTCTCCGGAGGGTCTCCATCCACAACTGGGGGCTGTTCAAACACCGCCGTTGAGAGGAAGCGCAGCCCGACGGCAGGAGAGGGGAGAGAGACTATTATAGAAAGAAATACTTTCCCTCTGCGGACTCGCCAACGGAACTACAATTAAAAGACACTCGACTTCCAATGCTGTTTGGAGGATAAGAGATTCTCGCTGTCTACAACCCCCGGTCATATACCTCTATACACGTTTTATCACTTTATATTAGTAGATGTGGTTTCAGAAAGATTTTTTACTACTGGTTTGTAGCTTTCGACCTAACACATATGATTTTCACCATTTTGTATCGCTATTTTATTCCGAATTGTCAGACGGAATAATTCACTTGTTTAAGCCAGTTTATCACTAGATTTTATAACACCAATTTACCTTTCCACACAATTTAATATATATTTGTTATTTTTTATTTATTTATTGATACTTTTTACCTACAATCACCATTGTTAAACCCACTATTTATATATTTATATAATTATTTATTTATTTAGGGACATATCCAATACCGTTTGATATGTATTTCACTATATAGCCGCAATAAGGATCGGATCACTGGCTTCACATTTCACACAATTTATTTGATTAATTAAAATAGGTGGTTCACATATAACCAAGCGCAGCACACCGGCCCATACCCGCCGATAAATATGTGTGGTTGACAATCATGCTCACTTTACACGTTAGTCCCTTCTAGACCCCCTTTATAAATCTGCTTGGCTGCCCATCATTCCCACTTTACAGGTTGCTCCCACCCAGACCCGCCTATATACTGTATGTGTGGCTGCCTATCATGCCCACTTTACAGGTTGGTCCCTTCCAGACTCCAACTATAAATCTGCGTGGTTGCCCATCATGACCACTTTACAGGTTGGGCACCTCATTGGCAGGGCAAAGGGACAGAATGTGAGACTGTCCTGGCAAATCCGGGACAGTTGGCATCTATGCACATATAGTCCAATGCATGCAGCTTAAGTTCACCACACAAATTACAAACCGTGTCGCACAACATCTTTTAGATCCACCAACAACTATGTAGTAGAAGTGCATGCTTGATCGGATTCAGATCCATTGGATGGTCTACGGTCTAGGATACGTTCTGCTATTACATAGTTTTGGTAAATCTAAAGATTGACGTTGTAACACGTATGGTCATCTGAAGACCTCTGATTTTTTGAAAGCAGATTAGGTCCTCCTTATCTTGGCTAGCTGGGCCGAGCTCTGGAGAATTTTCAAAGGTAACACTAAATGGAAATACAAAATGAAAATAATTTGAGGGGCAACCTGCCACCCCCATCCTGAGATATCCCCCCACCACCACCGGGCCTATGTGCCCACCATTTAGAGTGCGGTACTTGCCTCACTTATGTTCAGAGCATTGAGTTTTGCTTGCAGGAGTTCAGGCAGCTCGGCGGTGGAGGTGTATCTGTGCTTGATGTTCTCCCCCTGCTCTTTGTATTTGCTCTGCAGGAAATAAAAGTAAATTTATATAGTTTGTGACCATTGAGGAAAATATTTAATTGAATGTTTTTTCTGCCCGGAGTTTAGCTTCAAGGTGTTTTTGGTGGTTTTTAAGGGTCCAGTGGGCTTTAAATGGCTGAGAAGTTCCTTTCATCTATCCTGGACCTGGTGCCAAAAACACCCCTTCTTTAGCTTACATAGTTACATAGTATTTGAGGTTGAATAAAGACACAGGTCCATCAAGTTCAACCCATAGCGTGTATGTATGTGATTCTGCATGTGTATGCGTGTGTATGAGTCCCCGTGTGGTCTTAGTTTTTAAGTGTACCTGTACCCCTGTATGTTACGATCTCTGAGGAAATTGTCCAAATGCTTTTTGAATGATTCAACACTCTCAGCTGATACCACAGCTTGTGGTAGCGAGTTCCAGACCCTCACCGCTCTGACTGAGAAGAACCCCCTACGCCCCTTGCGGTTAAATCTTTTCTCCACCAATTTTAGGTGGTGGCCTCTAGTCTTTGTAATGGAGTTTACAGTAAAAAGTTTATTGCTGATGTTGCTGTCACCATTGAACATTTTATACATCAGAATCATGCCCCCCCTTAATTTCCTCACTTCCAGCGTGAACAAGTTTAAATTTAGTAGCCTCGTCTCATAGCTTTGGTCCTACATCCCCGTAATTAGTTTAGTTGCCCTTCTCTGGACTCTCTCCAGCTCCAGGACATCCTTTCTGTGGATTGGTGACCATTATTCATTATTATAAGTAAAGAAGATTAAAGTAGCAATATATACATAATAACCAAATACACAAAAGGAACCCCAAAAATTACAAAATGAAATAAAATAACATAAAAGACTCTAAATGAAGAAAAAAAACTTGTTATCTCTGTTCTCTGGGAAGTTGATCCTGCAGCCTCCCCCTAGTTACACATCTTGGAGCTGTGGGATGCACACGGGTAAGACACATTAAGTACTTCTAACAGGACGGCCAAGTTCCAGACTTACATCCACCGCCTGGTTGTAGCTGACCCGGGCCTGAATCATCTCCGGGGTGTCCTGGATGCTGGTGAACTTCAGTGTCGATGGCAGCTGCCTGTAGGACTTCTGAGCATTGCAAGATAATGTGAAACATATATTACAGGGAGTCATCCAAACAACCAATCAGATACCACTATTAAAGTACGTGATTTGAGTGGTCTTGTTAAATATTCTGTGCCGTGATCTGATTGGAAGGGAATTTTGGCCACCATGGTACTTGTAGCACCAGCACAGGTGGGGGGGTTGGTAGTGTAAGAAGCAGCAGGAGTAATAAGTGGCAGGAGTGGTAGAGTTAGTGGTGGAAGGGAGGAGAAGTGGCAGCATTAGCGGCAGTGTTGTGGAGATGGTGGTGGCAGCAGGTACGGTGTGAAGATGATGGTGTTGGCAGCACGTACGGTGTGGAGATGGTGATGGTGGCGGTACGTACGGTGTGAAGATGATCGTGGTGGGAGCAACACGTACAGTGTGAAGATGGTGATGGTGGCGGTACGTACGGTGTGAAGATGGTGGCGGTACGTACGGTGTGAAGATGATCGTGGTGGGAGCAACACGTACAGTGTGAAGATGGTGATGGTGGCGGTACGTACGGTGTGAAGATGGTGGCGGTACGTACGGTGTGAAGATGATCGTGGTGGGAGCAACACGTACAGTGTGAAGATGGTGATGGTGGCGGTACGTATGGTGTGAAGATGGTGGCGGTAGGTACAGTGTGGAGATGGTGGTATTATTGTGTAGAGTTGGAAGTGTTGGCAATGGCTTTATTACTAAAGTGGAGGCAATGGCAGAATTGGTGGCAGATATTGTCGGTTTCTCACCTCACTGATGAGCTCGCCGGCTCTCTTCGCCTGTAATACATCAAGCGACCCCTCAGTGATCCAGCCGGCCCCTCTCATCCACCTCAGGTCCGATTTATACTGGTTCTGCAGGGCAGATAGAAGGGATGAGTAGAACATTGCAGAATTCTTCTCACATGTTTCCAAAAAAAACCCTCCTCCCCCAGCTCTCTGTAAGTCATTCTTTGGGGCTTTTATTCATTGATATAGAACACACATACACCGTGGTGCTATACAGAGGACATAAAACAATAAACCCAACTCTATATTTCAAATACACACCTAGACCAGATTGGACACAAGTACTGCTAGTGTTAGGCTCAACATTAGGGACCAAATCTGGTCTGAACCTGAGCTCCTATGAACACCGAAGAAGCGCCTCCTAAACACGTAAGGAAGCTCTTCAGCTGCCACCCAATCTGCTGCACATAAGCAATGGGGCGGGATGCAGTGGCACCATCGATTTTATATGGTCACATGACTATATTAGACATGTGCGATTTGTTTCGTTACGAATCGAAATTCGTACGAATTTTCCTGAAATTCAGAATTTCGGGAGCATCCGAATCCGAATTGCCTTTTCCGAATTATATATCCGAAATACGAAATTCCGTTCCGAATTTCGGATCCGAATTTCTTTGAAATGGGAACTAATATTACCCCTGTAAATGAGGTTGAACAACATGACAAGATTTTTTTTTAAATCCGAAATACGGATCCGCTGCTGCTGAGAGTCGCATTACAATACATACAGGCAGGGAATGCGAAATTCCGTTGCGGAATTTCGTTCCGTAACGAAAATCCGTTATATTGAAGGTAAAAAGCAAAGTACATTTATATTGGAGTTGATGGTAGTTTTTTTTTAAGTCCGAAATACGGAATTCGTAATACGGAATCCGTTAACGGAATTCGTATTTCGGATAAAAAAAACAACTACCACATCGACTCCAATATTAACAAAGGTATTTTGCTTTTTAACGTCATCATAACGAATGTTCGTACAGTTACGAAACTATAACAGCCACTAACGAAATTTCGTATTTCGTACGAATCCGAATCCGAATTGAGTTTTGACACAAATTACGAAATACGAAATAACGGATTTTACGAAACGAAACGAAACAGAACAAATTTTTTGACGGCGCACACGTCTAGACTATATTTGGTCAATGTGGCCATAAAAAGGTCAATGACATCAGCACAAGTATCCCGCCCCTTTGTTTATGTACTTCAGCTGCAAGGCAGGGAATGCCCCAGGCCGCAGCTGATTGGACAGGTGACCCCAGGTCTCAACCTGAGCTCTTCCCTACTCAGCCTATAACAGGTTTGCTTGCTAGAATTACTTTTATGTCAGGAACAGTCACTCGCTTTCTTCACTTACGTCGCTCTGCAGATCATACGCCTTCTTTGCCCACTGCACCTTCATGTCGGTGGGGAGGGAACTGTAGCAATGGAGGAATGTCCTGTAACCGCGATCAGTTGCCAGGGCCTGCGCCATAGTGGCGTGCGCCATGTCTAGCATGTCCATGGACATATTGCACCGTTTATTCATGTCCTCGAAGGCGCGCTTGTATTCCAGGTCACTCTGCATTTTTGTCATCTGGAGCGAGTGTGACATTTTAGAGTCTCCGTCTGCGGCCTGAACCCCGATCAGCTTACCCTTAGTCTTCTCATATCCTTCCTTGTACTTTATCTGCAAAAAAAAGAGAGTTAAACAGTATAATGTACAATGTGATGTACAAAACATGCGTCTGACCAACGGTGACCCAGAACTGACCTCTAAGGGGGTCTATTTATAACCAGCCGGCAGAGCCATTGCACTACAAATATTTCTAAACATTCCTTATGTGTGAATAGCGGCAAAAATTAACATTCTTAGATATATTTTCTTTTCAGGTCAAATGTATGTAATGTAATACTTCATGTTGGCCACTAGATGGAGCTGAGGAACATAGGAAATAAGTATTTATTTCCTATGCTTCTCAGGGCAATAAATCTACAGTACCAAGACAGGTAAACAAATTCTCTTTATAGAACAACCTGCAAAGGAGGATCTGTGACTAGAGAACATCTGGCCTCATAGGTGGGTACATGGGCAGGACAACAGCAACCTCTGCAATCCTTAACGATACAGTGAGGCAGTGGGGTTGGTTGCGGGGGGGGGGGCGCAAAAATTCAACTTTGCCTGTGTTGGCAAAAATCCTAGCACCGGCCCTGCAGTGAGGGATTTGTGCTATCTATGCAAGGACACTGATTTTGTATGTTTAATTTGCCTATTGATGCCCCCCTTCCAGCCCAGGCCCCATGGCCACCACATGGGAATATGTTTACACCTGGAACTGTCTCATGGGATCAGAAAAACTAGTTATGGCAAAACTTTTTTTTTTGTATCAACTTTATCTCGGGATTATAACTGCTCCTTAGATCCGGGGATGGGAATGACTTTGTACTCACGTCACTGGCCAGATTTTGCTTGGCTTTGGCCGTGATGATGGACAGTGAATCCAAACGTAAATCAAATCCCCTTTCCTTCTGTTTCTCCCAACTGCTCTTATACAGCTTCTGCTCCACGCCATCCAAAGAGAGAGAGCGAGAGATAAAGAAATAGACAGACATAAAGAGAGATATATAGAGAGAGAGTCATTCCACCCTTGGAGGAAGGGGAGGGTAGATAGGTAATATACACCAATTAGCCATACTGTTATGACCACCCGCCTAATATTGAGTATGTCCCCCTTTTGTTCCCCTTTTGCCCCCTGGCCCATTGAGGGATGGAGTTTCTGAAGGTGTGCTGTGGTATCTGGCACCAAGCCATCAGTAGCAGATCCTTTAAGCCAGGGGTGTCAAACTCAATTTAATCAACATTATGGTTACCCTCAAAGGTATCTGTAAGACTATATAAATGTATCTAATCTTTATCATAATTGCCTCTGCATTCCATTATCACCGGTTTTAGTAATAACTTAATACCTAGATCTGAAAGTAGAAGTCTAGGAAATGGCCTGGTGGGCCGGATTCAGCCCCTGGGCCTTGAGTTTGACACATGTGCTTTAAGCCCTGTAAGGTGTGAGGTGATCGGCCTCCATGGATCGGACTTGTTCTTTCAGCACATCCCACAGATGATCGGTTGGCCTGAGATCTGGAAAATTTGGAGGCCAAGTCATCACCTCAAACTCCTTGTTGTGTTCCTCAAACCATTCTTCAACCATGTGTGCAGTGTGGCCGGGCGCATTATCCTGCTGAGAGAGGCCACTGCCATCAGGGAATACCGTGTCCGTGAAGGGGGGGACTTGGTCAGGAACAATGTTTAGGTCGGTGGTCCGTGTCAGAGTAACATCCACATGAATGGCCGGACCCGAGGTTTCCCAGCAGAACATTGCCCAAAGCATCACACTGCCTCCGCCGGCTTGTCTTCTTCCCATAGTGCACAATGTTATGGCTGATCGATGTACAACAGGAGACATAACAGGAAGTGAGCGAAAATCTCTCCAAAGTAAAGGAAACCAGTTGTCACCAGTTGGATGATCTCCCGTCTTTTGCTGTTCTGATGACAACTGTAACATTTTGGATTTTCCCTCATTTTCAGCAGCTTATGAACGTTGTGTTTGATCAACCAAGTTGGTTAATATATCATATAAACACCTACAAACAATAATGTAGATAACACCGATAATGTAAATACTATATATATTTAATGAGTTTAGAAAAGGCTAAAATAATTATTAATGAAACAGTAGTGTAAGACACTACTGTTTCAAGGATTCCATTGGTCTCCCGAGCTGCCGCTTGGATCATATCCTCTCTCTGTGTTACAATGTTGATATAATCGGTTCCCTCTTTTTCGATCGAGGGCGATCCATATACTCACTTAGGAAATATTCCACATATCTGAACAATTGTCATCTTCAGAATTCACTCTCCAAACCTGAACATACCAATTTTTTCCCCCTTTTTTCTGACATGTCTTCTCATGGATGAAGATTAATCTATATACCCACTTTACACACCAATAAGCGGATGCAGTCATTTGAATGTTTACATGTTTTGTCTATTGATGTTATGCCTAGAATGTAGTGTCTTACACAGATAATTATTTTAGCCTTTTCTAAACTCATTAAATATATATAGTATTTACATTATCGGTGTTATCTACATTATTGTTTGTAGGAATGGTGGGATCCCTTAGTAGGGGAATCTTTCTTGTTTATACAATTATCTTGTAGGGGACCCACATTCCAATTAAGTAATTGAATATTTTGTGCTTTGAACCTTCCCTCCTTTTCCCCCGGTTCTTTTTCTTTATACATTAATATATCATATACATTGTATCTTCAGCCCAGCCCCTATACATTGTTTCCTATCTTTAAGCCCTGATGAGGGAGCCAAGTTTTGGCCCCTGAAGCCCATTGGTTTCCTTGTATAGTCTTCCAGAGTTTACATTGGAATAACTTTGTATCTGGACTATTACCTTGTGTTGTGGCGCTTCAGTTTCAGATCCATTTATTTGCTTTGTAAACCAAGGTGACTATGGGAACCTTTTGGGGTGCAGAAGCCACCGACCCAGAATTCAGACACCCGGCAAGATCACCACTGCAATACTATTAGATAGCCATACCAATAGGACAATCCCAGGGATCCAGCATGACCTATCCATTCCTCCAAACAATTAAATCCTGACAGAGGGTCTAATCCTTCCACAGTCCATCCAATGTTTTTATTTTTTGCAGCCTGTCAGGACAGGAAATGACAGGAAGTCCCTTACGGGACAAAAACCAAAAACACATTGTTAGTAGAGTGAGGAACGATTAGAACTTTAGAGAATATTTTATTGCTGTCTGTTCTCTACTGCCCTGGTAAGAGGAAGTGAAGGGAAATCCCCACAACGGGGTCACCAATAGAAATAAAAACTTCTGTAGCCAAAACTAAACAAACAATGGCTGAAATTGGGCTTTAAGACAACATGCGTGCTTGGTAAATCTCTGCTGACCCTGGTGGCTTCATCACAGGGATGTGCAGATGAAATAGATTTTATTATAACGTCACTTCAACAGGAAGTTTGATGTTTTATACATGGACACCAGACAAGACTTATTTGCAGGATGCTCTCACCTCGCTGAGATTGGCGGCATTGATTCTGGCCTGCAGGAAGACAGGTTCGTCCTTGTGCATGGTGTAGTGGTGCAGGAGGTCCTCCGTACTTGATTTGTAGGCAATCTGGAGGACAGAACAATCGTTAGTGAATGGGATCACTCCGAATGATATGCAGCGGTACCTCGGTTCATGAACTTAATTCGTTCCACGATTCTGGTGGCGAACCGAATTGGTCACGGACCGAATAGAACTGTGATCAGTGGTGTATTTTGGTTTTATGCTGCCCTAGGCAAGACTAAACTCGGGCACCCCCCTCAATCTATATTTCCCCCACCCCATCCTGGTTAGGACGTTTTGCGCAACCTGTCAGTCACTGGATACAGCGCACACGGGGTCTCAGGTGAGCTGTGCATAGTCTCAGGTGGGCTGTACGGGGTTTCAGGAGAGCTGTGCGTGATCTATGGTGGTCTGAGTGGGGTCTATGGTGGGCCCACTGGCCAAGTGCAAGGAATGGCCAAAGGCAAGTCCGGCCCTGTCCGACTCATTGGTTCGGGGCAGCCTTTTCTGCTGCCCCCCTGGAAAGTGCCGCTCTAGGCAAATGCCTAGTTTGCCTTGCGGTACATACACCCCTGACTGTGATCAGACCGCGATCTTGACTAGAGGAAGCCAGGACCACGTGTCAGAGCGGGGAAGATGGCTGCGGTTGTCTTCGTCACCCGATGCGGAGTTCGCAAATGGAAGCAAAATTTTGCCGAACTTCCTGTTCGCGAACCGAGGTATCACTGTACAGCCATCTTCACCTGCATACCGCCAGGCTGTGTATCTCTAAATCTGATACCAACAAAGAGTGGGCGACACGTCCAAAAAGCTTTGCTTTACCAGAATGGGCGCGCTGCCTAGGGGTGCTGGATTAAAGAGAGCAGCACCAAGCCTACAGTGTGTGGAACATGAAATCATACAACCTCTGCTGTGTCATATGAAGTTAAAATCAAGGTGGGAAGTGTGTATACTTTAAGAATAATGTGTTTCTCTTTGTCTTGCTTCTTCTCTGTATGTTTGGAAGTAACGGGCTTTCAAACCAATATTTTGGACCGCAAAAGTTAAAATTTTGGTTTGAGAGAGAAACTTGTGACCTCATAACCGGCAGCGGATATCATATACACTGGACTTCCTGGACTTAGGAAGCTTTAAATTATATGGCAATGTACATACACACAATTCTTGATGTTGCCTCTAAGTATATGTCCGGTCCTGACCCAACTCTTCCCCCAAACCTCCCTCTCCCCATCTCCCTATCTAGATCATGTCCCGGCATTATTTCTCTTTTACTTGGTTCCTTTTGGGGGGAAACGGCTTCTAATGCTTTGTGTGACATCATTGCCAAGCTTGTGAAATTCTTGCAAGGACAGCTGCCGGGGGTTCCCATTGATGTAGGCACACCCTAGAACAGGGGTGCCCACAATTTTTGTGTTAAGATCTACTTTTCAAACGACGAGCTACATGAGATCTACCAACGAGAAAAAAAAAACTCCCCCGCTCTCTCTCTCCTGGCTGTCTCTCCTCGCTCTCTCTCTCCTTGCTGTCTCTCCTTGCTCTCTCTCCTGGCTGTCTCTCCTTTCTCTCTCTCTCCTGCCTGTCTCTCCTTGCTCTCTCTCTCCTGGCTGTCTCTCCTTGCTCTCTCTCTCCTGGCTGTCTCTCCTTGCTCTCTCTCCTGGCTGTCTCTCCTTTCTCTCTCTCTCCTGGCTGTCTCTCCTTGCTCTCTCTCTCCTGGCTGTCTCTCCTTGCTCTCTCTCCTGGCTGTCTCTCCTTTCTCTCTCTCTCCTGGCTGTCTCTCCTTGCTCTCTCTCTCCTGGCTGTCTCTCCTTGCTCTCTCTCTCCTGGCTGTCTCTCCTTGCTCTCTCTCCTGGCTGTCTCTCCTTGCTCTCTCTCCTGGCTGTCTCTCCTTGCTCATCCTCCTGGCTGTCTCTCCTTGCGCTCTCTCCTGGCTGTCTCTCCTTGCTCATCCTCCTGGCTTTCTCTCCTTGCTCTTTCTACTGGCTGTCTCTCCTTGCTCTCTCTCCTGGCTATCTCTCCTTGCTCTCTCTCCTGGCTGTCTCTCCCGGCTCTCTCTCCTGGCTCACCTTGCTGTATTTTGCTGTGTATACTAATATTCTTTGATGTAATACATAGCACTACAACCACCAGTATCCCCCAGAAAGCTGTCAGGGAGCTCGGCTCAGCAGACTCGGGCTAATAGGTAATCATGTGTGCACAGCTAAATAAATATACCAACATGGAATAAAGGAGCCGCCATTCCCCCCCCCCCCCCTTCCTGATCTACCAGCATCAGCTTTGAGAGCTACTGCTAGATCACCATCTACCTAATGGGCACCCCTGGGGTAGAACTACTTCTCCCAAGATCCAGTTTCTTGCGAGTGCGTGGGCAGGCTCTTGGGAGTCAAGGCAGTAGCAATGGGAAAGCAATCAATGGATTATTGTGGAGAAGGGAGGAGACAACACCCCTTGGGAGTAGCAGAGGGGCAGTGTTGTCAGCTGAAACAGGAAGTTAGAAGCTCACTGGATTTCCAGCAAATCAGAATACTGCAAGTGCAGAATTTTAGAAGGTATAAAACATAGAGAAACGTTCATGTATTATAGAGAAGTACTGAATATGGGTTTGTTTTGCTCAGGCATGCACTTTAACTGCTAGGGCCAGTTGCATTGCCATTTTCTTTGCACAGTATCCCCGGATTGCTATGTATCTGTTCCATGTACACCTCCATTTTAGACATGTGCGATTCGTTTCGTTACAAATCTAAATTCGTTTGAATTTTCCTGAAATTCATAAATCCGGAAGCATCCGAAATCCGAATGGCAGTTTCCGAATTATATCCGAAATACGAAATTCCGTTAACGAATTTCGGATCCGAATTTCTTTGAAACGGGAACTAATATTACCCCTGTAAATGAGGTTGAACAACATGACAAGATTTTTTTTAATCCGAAATACGGATCCGCTGCTGCTGAGAGTTGCATTACAAATACACAGGCAGGAAATACGAAATTCCGTTGACGTATTTTCGTTCCGTTACGAACATTCGTTATATTGAAGTTAAAAAGCAAAGTACATTTATATTGGAGTTGATGGTAGTTTGTTTTTTTTATACGAAATACGGAATTCGGATCCGGAATCCGTTAACGGAATTCGTATTTCGGATAAAAAAACAACTACCACATCGACTCCAATATTAACAAAGGTATTTTTCCTTTTTAACTTCATCATAACGAATGTTCGTAAAGTTACGAAAATGTGACGAAACTAACGAAAATTCGTATTTCGTACGAATCCGAATTGAGTTTCGGAAACGAATTACGAAATAACGGATATTCCGAAACGGAACCAAACGAAACAAATTTTTTGAAGGCGCACAAGTCTATTCCATTTCCCATTCTGCACTCACACCACTTTGCAGTTCCTGGCTCTTCTTGGCATGCCTGATGTCCGGGCTGTCCGCCACGCTGGTAAATTTCCAGGTGTCTGCTTTCTGGCGATACTTTTTCTGAAAGGACAAGAAAATGAGAACGCTTAACCCTACAAGACCTCTCCAGCAACATGACGGGAGATTAACTTCTTACATGAATCGGAGAATGTACTCTTGATGTTTCCTCACTGTGGACCCTGATGATTTACCTGCCAGATTCCTGGAATGAAATACTTACATATATGAACTTTGACTTTTTTACTGTCTGTGTCCTATTGTCGAGTTTACTCTTCACTTCCTGTGTTGATGACACAACAGGAAGTGAAAGGAAATCTCTCCAAAGTAAGGGAAATCCTCATGCAGTTGTCATTGGAAAAGGTGTCCCCATTTACAGATTTCTCCTCGCCTCTGCTTGAGATGCCGATCACTTTCCTGTCATGGTGACAATAGTCTTGTGCGTCCTGCGCCCTTATAGTCCTGCACCAAGTCACACGTTAGGAACCCATAAAGCTGCCCACTGTTACTGGTCTATTTCATGTACTCAGGAAACTCTTTACAACCCGTTTCTCGTATCTCATGAACGATACTGAGCGCGCTCGGCTCACCTCACTAATCAGGTCGCCGGCCTTCTTAGCCTGTTCCACGTTCACACTTCCCTCTGTGACCCATCCGACGCCCTTCATCCACGACAGATCGGACCTGTACTGACGCTGTAACAGATCGTTCATTAAATGTTATCATTACATTAAACAATATATAATGAATCATATATAATATAATCATCTATTTATACTTTTATTGGAAGCATTCCATGTTTTTCAACAAGTACAAAAAGAAAAAAAGTAACATAAAAGAAAAACAAGATATGAACAAACAGATACAAAGTATCACATGACAATGAACAACATATTCCACGTTAATGGAAGTCTAATGCACCGTGTTGTCATTTTTACATTGAATTGGGAAGCAATGTAAGTTAACATTGTTCTTGTTGTTGCATTTCAAATAAAGTTATACAGATCTTCCTATATCTTGACTTGGTTGGTCTTTTTAACCTGTGTATGTTCTTAACCAGTTGACATCCGCGGTGTTAAACCCCCTTCCCATCCAGGCCATTTTTCAGTATTCAGCGCTGCGGTACTTTGACTGACATTTATTCCGTCATGCAGCGCTGTACTGAAATGCATTTTATACCCTCCCCCTCCCCGCTCCGCTCCTCCAGCGCTGACTGGCGGAACGGACGGGGGAAGGGGCGGGTACAGCTGGCTCTGCCTCTAGATAGACAGAGCCAGCTGTCAATCACGCAGCTTGGTGGATCTCGACAGTAATGTCAGGATCTGTCCCGGCTGCGATGGTCTTAGTATACCGCAAGCTGTAGCTCCCTATATACTGAACTTTGGGTGACGGGAGGACGCTAGTTTGTGTCCTCCTGTGACCCTAAGGAGAACTATGGGGAAAAACACTTAGCCCATAGTTCTCCTTTAATGTTCTTAATGTATCATTGAGTGTAGCAGGCTGTCCAAGACGTGATCGGTGGCGGGGCCAATGTGGGAGTATCCAACCAATTTTCCCAAATGTTGGTAAATTTGTTTGGTCAGCCTCTATGCTGGTATGTGAATTTCTCCCTTTCCCACAATGTATAGACAGTATCCTTCCACTGGGTAAATGTAGGAGGACCACAACCTGAAGATAGGAGTGTGAAATGCTTCAGGAACTATTTCATCCAAAAAAAAGAATTTTCACATGCAATGCCCTATAGAAATGTGATAGAGAGAGAGAGATAGAGAGAGATAGATAGAGAGATAGATAGATAGAGCGATAGATAGAGAGATAGATAGAGAGAGAGAGGAGAGAGAGAGAGAGAGAGAGAGAGAGAGAGAGAGAGAGAGAGAGATAGATAGATAGATAGATAGAGAGAGAGATAGATAGAGAGAGAGAGAGAGAGAGAGAGAGAGAGATAGATAGATAGATAGATAGATAGAGAGATAGATAGATAGAGATAGAGAGATAGAGAGATAGAGAGAGAGAGAGAGATAGAGAGATAGAGAGATAGATACTGTAGATAGATAAAAGCTTTGAAAACCCACCTATCAAGGTGCTTAGTGCTGCACCACTTATTGTCTCTACATACTGCTGCCCGGCAATCAACCTAACACGACTCCCTTTTACGGCTGTGATTTTGCTCCTTTAAAACGAAACACCTTTCTATTTCGTGTTTCCATTATTCTGTCTCTTTCCTTCAATTTGGAATAATAATGGACCGGTGCAATGGCTCACCTCGCTCTGCAGGCCGTAAGCCTTCTTGGCCCATGAAACCTTCATGTCCTCGGGCAGCATGGTGTACTCGTGGAACTTAGTGCGATAATCCAGGTCGCTGGCCAACGATTGGGCCTTCTTGGCGTGAGTGATGTTGACCATGTCCATCGGTAGGTGGAACTTAGTCATGCTCTCCTCAAGGCCTTTCTTGTAAGATACCTTCAACATCAACAGAAACAATGTATCAATGTCGCACTCATACAGCGGACTCAGCGTTAGAATTGGTACCATTCCGCTACCTCGCTGCTCAGTTTCCCGACTTGTAGGGAGTGGAGGAGCCTGGAGTCACTGTTTGCCGCTGCTTTGCCCTTATTCTTTTCATATTTCTCTTTGTATTTGATCTGCGGTGGAGAAGACAGAGATGGAAAGCTTTGAACCAATAGTGCTTTAACGTATATGTCCAACCAAAGCTTCTATTTTAGTTCGGATAGGGTTAGGAAGGGCAGGGCCGGATTTCCCACAAGGCCACCAAGGCCCTGCCTTGGGGCAGCAGGGGGTAGAGGGGCAGTAGGGGTGTGGAATTCCCATTGTCCAAGGCCCAAAACATGCAGTTCTGGGTGCCGTGCGGTTACTTTTTTTCTACATTTAGGGGCAAGCAGGGCTAAATGTACAGCGGGGAAGCTGCCACTCATTTTGTACAAGTGATCTTGGTGAGATAACTTGTATACAGCCTGCTGGTCAGTCCCCCCA